AGGGAGCCTTGTGCCCAGGAGGGGGACACACCCCAGGAAAGGGCCAAAGCAGGGACACCACAGCTCACGTGGAGGGCCTCAAAGTGGGCGGTGAGGCCACGGGGGTGGCTGTTGAGTCTTGAGCCACAAACTGGATGAGTCAACGTCGGGGCCCGGGGCGAGGGGGTGGGGGAGGCACTGGCCCCTCCTCCCAGGGAAGCTGGATTTGGCTGTGGAGCCGGTGTTCCCACGTCCCACCATCCCCACGTGAGCCTCCTGAGGTCAGGATGGACATCCCATTCTTGCCAGAGAAGTGTGGCCGCTGGTGCCCGATGCCCTGGGAAGAAAGCCAAGGACTCTTGTCCAGGCCTCGCTGGACAGTGGCTGGGCGCTGAGCCCGGGGGTGAATGCAATGGGTCCCAGCTCTATGAGAAGAGAACTGTGTCCACCTCGGCTCAGGGGCCTCAGGGCCCCCAGCGGGGCACTCAGCCCAGCAACAGGCAGGCGTCTGGGGGCTTCTCAGAGCCAAGGAATGAGGTGTGTGTAGGGCCTCAGCCCCCAGTGGACTCCTAGCTGGAAGGAGGGAGGAGGGATGTGTTTTGAAGAAAGAAATTTGGAGGGCAGCCTTTGTGGATGTAACAAGGTAGGGCCAGCCCCAAGTCAGAAACAGCAGCCTCCCTGAGGGTGGGGTCCTTTCAAGGAAGTTTCTGGAAGGGCACCAAGGAGGGCCTCCCTTCCGGGGGGAGGGGCAGGGCCCTCCCTCTACCCTCAGCAGCCCTAGGGGACTCCCCAGCGCAGGATGTTCACAAGGCGGCCCCTCTCCTCCCTCACCCACCGGACCCCCTCAGTCCTGTGGCTGGAACTGCCCTGCTGTTCATGAACTGTGAGTAAAGACTATGCCCCAGAGATTCCTGCAAGTGTAATTCTAGAAGAACAAGCCTCTGGAGAGTTTGGTTTTTAATGAAAACAAACGCTGCCCATGAGCCAAACCCTGAACCGGGGCAGAGGTGGGCAGGACCCCACACACCCAGCCCCAGCTGGTGGACTATGCACCGGAGTCAGCAAGAGGCAGTGGTCTGGGACTTGTAGCCTGGTCCACGGGGCTGGTGACCCTGAGGGCAGGTCTGAAGTTCCCAAGGGCAGCGTCCAGCCTGGGGCAGTGAGTGAACTCCACACCTTCTGGGAAATAGGTCATTGCTTGGAAGGCCAAGCCAGGATGCAACGTACAGGAGAGGGAAAGAGGGAGAGGAGGAGAAGGGAGGGGAGGAGGGAGAGGAGGAGGAGGAGAGGTAGGCCCTGGGGCGTCCACAACATAGGCTGGCCTTACCGACCTATCTGCTTTCAACGGGCATTATCGGCAGACGAAAACATCAATATGCTCATAGTTACCCTTTTTAGTAATCCTGTCTTTGAAATGGTGGTTTTCCAAAGACCTGTTCGAGAGGGCAACTAGCTAAGTCAGCCACACTTGGACTCCATGCTCCTTCCCAGGCTGTCTGGGGGGGCTCCCAACGGCAAAGATCTGAGCCCAAACACCCCACCGCCAGACTCCCCACTCCACGCTGACTCTGCAAATGAACCCTGCCTTCAGACCTTCACCAGCATCTGCTTCTGCTCAGGCAGATGCTCTGAACAGGCAGAACAGTGAGTACAGACTGGGGGCTGCCCAGCTCACGGGAGCCACCCCAGCGCCTCTGCTCACCTTCTGCTTGTAACAGATCACTGTAGATCACTCCAGCCCCATCTGTAGAGACTGGTGCAGGGCAGGAGCACAGGCCAATCAAGGGCTGCCTGCGCTGGCTCATCCCAGGGTGGGAACAGAAGGGCCCTCATCCTCCCTGGCCGTGGAGCTCAGTGGTCACCCAGGGCTGAGCCGGCGAGTCCCCACTATGGCTGGGGAGAGAGGGCCCAGGCAGGCAGAGACCACCAAGCCCTGGCAGCATCCAGCCCAGCTCAGCCACCTCGGGAACCGGCCACTCCCACCCTTCCCCACCCTGGTGACGTTAGCTAATATCTGTCACCCGCTTTGCAGCTCACTTGAATTAAATGTCTGTCACCTTGCCATCCAAGATCCCAGGTGTGGGGCATTCAATGCCTGGCTGAGGGCCCATAGTCCAACCACACCTGTGGCACTCACCTGTCCCCCACCAGGTGAGGCCCACTGCTGGGGGCTCACACCCAACCAGGCACAGAGGTGGAAACCTCCCAGCTCCCACCGCTGTGTGGGCACCACACACAGGCACGGCGATGAGGAAAGTGTCCCAGTGGCAGCATCGCTCTCTCCTGGCTTCTCCGCACTGAGGACGGTCCCAGCCTCCTCATGTGGTCAGGTGGTCATGGTGTCCCAAAAGACCCAGGGACAAAGCCCTCGCCAGCCCTCCAACCCAGAGGGCACTGTGTTCTCACTGCTCACAGAAGGTGGGCTGGACCACCACCACCAGCTTCTGCTCTGCCTTGGAGAACAAAATCATCTCACATGGGGCAAGATTTCTCCAAGTAACAGGTATCAATGGGGTAGACCTTGTCCCAAGTTGTTCCAGGCCAACCTGTGATTGCTGGGAGAGGGGACGCCTGGTAGAAGAGCGAGTCCATCCAGCAAGTGTCCTTCCCGCAGAGACTTCCAGAGCTCCTCCGGGGCGCCTCTCGGGGCTCTGGCTCGGCGAGGAGAGCCAGGCATTAAGTTTTGACACCTGGGTCAGATGAGCCACCAGGGCCTGCTGCCCCCACACCGAGGACTACCAGGCACCCAGTTCAGGCCTGACGAGGGGCAAGCGAATGAACGAGGGATGAACCTGGAAGCCAGCACTATGGGGGCAGTTCCCACCTCAGGGAAGCGACAGTCCTCCTGACCGGGAACTGAGAACGGGAGTTTCGGTCAGGCAGTCCTCGTAATTTTCATTCTTCATCCTCACGTCGAAACTTCATGCTAATCTTTCTGTTTCTGCATCTCTGACTTGATCTGCCCTCCCGAGCACCCTACTACCGACCCACTCTTTCCTTACAGGAAACGTTCCACTAGTCTCTGCTCTAAAAATAAATGCCACTGTCTTCCTGCTCTGTAAAAACAACTTCAACAAAATCAGACCCCAACTCCCAAGAGGAGGCCTGCGGGTGCCCAGTCTCTTCCTCTGCAGACACCCGGGGATTCCCAGACCTGAGGAGCCCGGCGTTCACACGGCTCCTCATTAGAGATGAGTACCCACCAACAGGACTTAAACACCAGGCTCCATAACCACGAGGGCAACTGCAGCCCAGAGACCCCTGGGGGCCTAATTAAGAAGCAGGAAGGAGCCCTCCAATTATACCATAACTTGCATCTGAAAATAAAACCCCAACAGGACCCCGCGGCTTCCTCTTGTCACCTCACTCTGCAGAGCCCAATTTCCGGGACCTTGTGGCCAGCTGGCTCTCCAAAGCCAAGAACTGGTCAGAGAAGCCAGAGTCCTGGGGCTCTGCAGACGCTGAGGGGGTGGGAGGGCTGCCCAGCCGTGTGCACGAGGAGCACAAGGGGGATGGTGGAGTGGAGAAGAGGCAGGGACAGGGACAGGGAAGCGGCGGCTCGGTGCCACGCCCACCAGCCTCACCTGCCCCAGGTTGGTCTGGCTCCCGAGGGTCCCCAACACTCCTCCTTGGCCTGTTTTCCAAATGCTTGGATGACCCCTATGTCTCCCTGTATAAGCCACCCGTCCAGAAACCCAGTCACGGCTGGGGTCCTCCGCTGCTGGTGGGGGCGGGTTCCCCAAAGCCCCACCCTGTCTGCCCCTCCAAATTCCCCACACCCCCTGTGGCCCTGGGGAACAGAATTTACCCTCAGCTGGGAGAAGCCAGGAGGGCAGAGGCCGCCCCAACTGGCTGTCAGTGTCTGACAAACGCACCAACTTCAGGACCTCGTCTTTCGGATCAACCATCTTTGCACAATCGACAAAAGGCACAGGTCTGTCAGTTACCTCCTGACATGGAGAGATGTTACAACACTCTCCTGAATGCATAAGAGGATTCAATGGACTCGTGCAAGGGGCTAATTCCCTGTGGTTCATAATTACCCCAGGCCCCGGGAACCTAGGGCAGCGCTCATGTGATACAACAAAGTGGAGGCAATTAACAGCATCAGATTCTCTGTGCATTATGCTCAGTAGCACAACAACCCCTTTAAAAGGCTTACAGAGTTTAAACAGACATGGCATCCAGACAGCTGTGTAGATGGAGGGGGGCGAAGCCCTCATCTGCCAAGGCCCCTGGGCGGCTGGAAACTGTCCGTTCAGAAGAGATTCATTTACAGCAGACCCACCAGGGCCGAGTCCCGAGAGCTAATTTTAACCTTTTCAGAGCTCCTTAAGCCTTGCTCAGTTATAATTACCCCCGATCTCTAGATGTTATGAGGCAGCAATCAGGGAGGTGGATCTGGCCAAGAGAAACACAAGGACGTGGAGAGATGGCTCCGAGCAGGCCTATGAGGACACGAGTGGTGTGGCCGCCCCAGGACGAGGACACACACTCGGCATCCACCCTCAGTCCTGCCACCCCCTTGCCCTGGAGGAACGGGCGCGGGAGCAGCCTAGCCTCTGGGCTCCAGCTGTGACAACGGCCTCCAAGCGTCACAGTGGCTCCAACACGGCATATCAGCCACACCACAGAGCTGCTTCTAAAATGCTTGCCTTCAGGCCTTGCGCAGGCTCCTGTATCAAGGAAAGCTGTTCCCTACAAAGAGGGCCTCAGTATTGAGACTGAGTGGGTGTCAGGGTCTCGGCCCTGCAGAGCCCAGCGGCTGAGCCATCTGCACCCTCAGCTCCTGGCTGAGCTACAAGACCCCAAAGACCTGGACTTTAGATCCTAGAGGTCATGAGCTTGGCTGACAGCCCACCCTGACGGCCCCCAGCACGGCCAGCCTGCTGGGCAGGAAGCAGACCCACACCCTCCACAGACAGACCCAGGTGGGCGGGCCTCTCCGGAGCAGGTGGACCGAGGGGCCGGCCTGTGCACCACCACGGTCCTGCTGTGGCCTCTCGCTGGCTCCGCCTTACCTTGCCGAAGCTGCCCTTCCCGATGGCCCGCAGGATCTGGAAGTGGTCGAAGTTCACTGCAGAAAAAACAGAGGGATGCCAGGTGAAGTGACAGAAAGGGCCTGTGCCCACCACAACCCCCAGCTGGAGCAGCCTCCGGGCACCCCCACGGCTGCAGGGAGCCCCCTGCAGCCCTCCTGTGGCCCACTCCTCCTGGAAGAGGGTCAGTCCTCAGCTGGCTGGAGGCTGAACTCAGGCTCGTGTGCAAAGCAGGGAGGGCCGGAGACAAGGCAGAGGTGGGTCCTGAGGGCCGAGCAGCCCCCTCCTCCTGGCTCTCTGTGGGGCTGGACAGGGCACAACGGGGGCAAATGGTGCCCAGAGCTGCTCAGCCTCAGTCCCAGGCACCCAGCAGCCCCCAACGAAAGCTGCCCCCAACCCATGAAGACCCACAAACAGGCAGCCCTAGGGGTCTCAGGGTGACCTAGAGCCTCGGAAGCAGGTGCCCCCACTCTCCTGCTGAGTCTGTGGGGGGAGGGTCAGCCCGTGAGATTTGCTGGATGAGCCTAAAGGGAGCCTGCAAGGGCCCCAGGATTAATAACGGTGGGGGCAGGGGGTGGGCATGGGACCACGGCCCCTCCAAGGGGTGGTCCACAGGCCTGGGTGAAGCCGCACGAGTCCTTAATTCCACTGACTTTCTCGACAGAGTCAGTGAGAAAGAGATAGCTGGAAACAGCAGCTTTTCTAATTGTCACAACCCTCTTGAAAGACTCGTGCCGTGTGCACGGCAGCCCCCCGGTTAGTGTTAATCCTTGTTGCATGGAGAGGAGTCTGGACGTGCTTTCCAGCGCTCCCACTTCTGTTCAAACCAGACGCTTTCTCCTCAACATGAGACAGGCGTTCCACAATGCCCACACGTTTCTCCTGCTCCTTACTCCTCAGGGCCCAGGCAGGGGCCCGTCTCCACCCAGGGCCTGGGCCAACCTCACTTCCCGCCCACCTCCCCCAGCTCCTGCCGCTCCAGCTGACTCTCAGGCCAGCAGCTGGCCTCACCTCTATTCCAGGTCTGTATCCCTAGGTCTGTGCCCCCCGAGGTCTGCACCTCTCACGCCTGCACCCCCCATCCCCACACCCACGACAGGGCCTGCCACGTGGCTCTTGGTTCTCATACTTTTCCATCAGGCCTCACAGCACCTGGAGAACCTGGCCCCAAATCCCTAGGGACACGTGCCCTGGGCACTCGTCAGAAGCACAGGAGGCCTGGCATGCCCATGACCACTAGGGCAGCATAGCCTCAGCTATTCCAACACGGAGTTGAGGACGGGGGCCGTGTCCCGTGCTCACCCCGAGAACAGAGCCTGCAGAGGGCGTCCTACCATGCATGGCCCCAGCCCCGGTGCGTTGGTGCCAGGAGGTGCAGTCCAGCTCAGCCCTGGGAGCAGAGGTTAGGCGCCTCTCCTCCCCTGGGCAGCTTGCTGTGGTGCTCCCGCCCTGCGGCCCCCAGCCGCCAGCACAACACCCTGAGCCTGGGCACCCCCGGGCCGTGAGTTACCAAGGGATCTTAGCCAAGATCATCACCATTTTTAGACAAAAGCACAAATTCCAGGAGAGGAAAGGTGGGAACCAAAGTGTATTAAATAATAGGTTGGAAGCATAAGGAAACCCCAGCAAGTATCCCACTACACTTTCACACCCTGGAAAGCGTGGAGGGTTTAATGGAGGGGGAATCTGAGGGGAAGAGACGCTAGGAGACCTGCTGGCTCAGAGCCAGAGCAGCAGGGAGCAGGGTGCTGTGGGGGGCCTGGCCGGAGTGGGGCGGGGCGGGGCACGCTGGCTGCCTGTGCTCTCCCCAGCCAGCCCCGCAGTTTTGAGCTCAAACTACCCCCACTTCCTAAGACACCGGGCAGAGAGGAGTCGGGGTCCCAACTTTCCAGCTGCTGCACAGAAGTCAGAGCCCCTTCCAGGCAAAGTTCAACCCCCACTGTCAGCTACGTTTGCTAAACCCAGGGAGGGGCAGGGGCCACCAGGGTGGGTGAAGCGGAGGGTGAGGGTGGTTCTCACCTGGGTGGGGGCAGACCCATCAGCGGGAAGGCACAGCAGTGTCCTGGGAGGGTGCAAGCCCAGTGGTCATGGAGCACTAACACAAGTCGGGGTGGGAATGGCGAGCCCCATCTGTTTGCCTCACCCCCATCCCACCACCAGCCCTATTTGGGTTCAGGCAGCCCCGGTGGTGCAAAGCCTCAGGCCCATGTGGGGTTTGAGCCCCAAGCCCCACATGCAAACTCTCCACCACCCACAGACGTAGGTCACCACCCCCAGTGTCCTGGGGCCTCTGTCCTCTTGTCCTCTGACCCTCCATCCTTCCGGGCAGGTCTGTAGCCTCACAGGGCCCTGCTGCCCTGTACACGGTACCAGGAGCTGCCAGGGCCCTAGGGGCCCTCGGCACCCCCACCTTAGAGGGAAGGTGCTGCTCCTCCTGGGCCATTCAGGGCTGGAGCTCAGCACTGTCTGACTGAGGGCTCTGGCCACAGATCTGTCTGGGAGGCTGGGCCCTGCTGAGCGAGCCAAGGTCAGAGGCTGCTGCGGAACCACAAGCCAGGCTCGTCGTGGACCCTGAAGGAAGGCAGGGAGGAGCCGTCACAGAGCAGACACTCCAGTGTGGGGAGACACACACTAAGCCAGCAAGCAAATATGGGGCTCAGCGCCCAGGAGAAAAATAAAGCAAGAAGAGGGGTGGGGGGTCACTACTTTTTACAAGGTCATGGGGGGGTATTTTTGAAGCTGACATTTGGGCAAAGAACTGAGGGTCAGAGCCGGGGGTCCCTCGAGTTATGGCTGACCAAGACAAGTTTGCTGCATTCCTCAATGTGACATGTTGCTGTGTGACGCTGTAGTGACACTTGCCCCTGTGTTTGCCACCTCCAAAATTATAATGTAGGGAAAAGGAACAGGTAATTCAACTCCAACAATCCCATCTAACATTTATACATCTCTTTCCCAGGAGTCTAAGTGCTGCATGCAGGAAACTGTGTGTCTGCAAGTCCTGCCTGCAAGGAGACGACACAGCTCCAAGCTCGACATCCACCCGACCCTCCTGTAACACGGCTGCAGGGGCACAGCACAGACTCTTCCTGGTACAGATGAATATTTAAAGACAAGGGTTTTAAGAATATTTGTTCTTAAGGAAGGCTTTTATTTTGCAGAATTGGCAATGAGAAGCACAGCGCTGCTATGAAAATAGGTCATCTTGATGCAGCCGACTGACCACGAATGGAGGGGAGATTTTAATTCTATTTCACCAGGGTGGAGATGCAACACTAGCCCGCCTGCACTGCCCCTGGCCTCGGGGGAGCCTACACCAGGTCCTTTCCGAGGGCCGCTGGCTTGGTTCAGGGTCACTTTGAACCCAAAGAAAAGGCAAGGAGCCCTTGTCCAGAAGTGCTCAGTGCTCCGACGGCCTTGTTTCCAGTGAGACTCACGCAAACCATTTCAGGTTTCCCGGAGACCCGCCGGTTGCTGTAACTGAGCCGTTAACAGGCCTATTTTGACACAGGACCCCCTGGCACTGTCACATCCGGCCCGGATGTGGGCTGTGTCATTGGTCCTGCAGGTCCCAGGAAAGGACGGGCCATGGGCTCACTGGCAAAGGTGGGCTGTGTGTGTTCGGGGCAGGTCACTCCCAAAGCACAATGCGGACGCTGCATAGGCTGGCTCTCGCGCAGTGACCACAAAATCCAAAGCAAAATGTCAGGTAACATTTGGACACTTTTTCCCTAAAAATAAAACGATGATCTGCCCTTCATGTGTGCCCGGCCCTGGGTGGGCAGAGGAGCACTTTCCAGCGAGCCACCTTAGGAAAGCTCTGAGTCCCAGTGAGATCTCAGGTTGAAAATGCAGTCCTCTCATAAGCCAGGGCTTTTCTTAAAACAACAAAAAATTGCCCCCATGAGGATGGCAAGAGAAAAGATGGACCTGGGAGAGTAAAAATAGACCGGGCACAGAGTCATGAGTCACTGCCGTTGTTGTTAGTGACACAATGCACGCCCACGCGAAGGTGCCCCTGCAGACTTGGAGGGGCAGCCCTTCTCCTGACACCCGCCTCCCGGGTCCCACGGCCTTGGGAGGGTCCTGTCCTAACGCCTTTGGGGGCACAGGATGTGGGTGCCCAAGACAGTCTGCAGAGAAGTCGTGTGGACGGTGAGCTGCCCACAGCCACAGGGCAAGTCCTGGGTATGGGCTGGACCCGGAATGCGGCCCTGGACCATTCCCTTCCCAGCTTGCCTCACTGGTCACCTAGGAGAGGCTCGGCCCTCAGAGTGTTGTCAGGTAGAACCAGCCTCTTCGTCCTCAGGGAATTCCATACCAGAAGTGGGATTGATTTGGAAAGCTGTAATAATAAATGTCACAGTTGATGAAATTCATCCAGAAGCTGATTAAATTTTGTCATACATTCTATGACCCAAAAAACTCTCGAAGAAAATCATCCAACCCAACTGTGAGGCCTGCCCTCTGCAGAGCTTGTGTGGCCTCTGCAAAGTTCCTGCCCAGCCCTCGCAGGCCAGCACGGGCCGCACGCTGCCTCCTCGGGCGCCCAGGCCGGCCCACCTGCGTAAACAAGACACCCTCAGGCAGACAGGAATGGTCACCAGACGGTGACCTCAAAGACACACTGAGGCCTTGACCTGCTCACCACCACCTGTCCTCAGAGGCCACGGGTCTGCAGGGAACCAAGACCCAACAGGTGGACAGCAGCAGGCGCCACGAGGGGGCACTCCTCGAAGCCCTCCTGTTCCTTAGGGCTTTCAATTCTCAGAGTAGCCCAGTGAGGGAGTGAATGCTCCCATTTCACAGGTGAGAAATGAGCTGGAGAGTCCAGCAGACTCTTGGTAAGGACCGCGGGGCCCTAGAGGCAGAAGAGAAAGGATGCAGCTCCCCTCCTGGCCGCCTGGCCCCTTGAGCCACAGGTTTCCTTGGCCCCTGAGGATGTCTTGAGACCCCGGGCAGGAAGGTCAAGCATCAGGAGTAGGGAAGCGGGTGTTTGCTCTGGCCTCCGACTCTAACTCCTCAGCCCTAAAGGGGG